TCTCACATACAACTGGCCTGAGACCCAAAAATGTTTGAGAAAGGCTGGTCCTGTTTTCTGGCCCCATGGCAACTGGTGATGTCATTTATATTAGGAAAATCAAGGATATTTATGAAGAACCCTGATCATGGGACCTGGACTGCACTGCATCTGGTACTGAGAGGGGAATACTGCAGGGGTGAATTGGAACTTGCTTTGGGTTTGGTTGTGGCTTCAAATGGATGCCTCTGTTTCCTAAAAGCACTATGGGCTGAACCTCCTTAGAAGGGTTGGAAATTGCACCCTTGGCTCAGAGGTCCGTGATAGCTGGCAGAAGAATTTGTCTTCCTCCCCTCACCAAAGCATCACTGCCTCTTGCTGCACAGCTGCTCCACACATCCTTTGCCCTATGTCCTCTCTGGTGCCCAGGACGTTCCCTGTCCTGCCCCTCTCAGTAGCTCTCCATTCCACACTTCCTACCTTCTTCCTGGATCTCTTTGACTAACTCTACCATCCTAGCCCAGGCTCACAGGGCATCCACAACAGGATGGTGGGGAGCTCAGGATAACCTCTGTGACACACAAAATTGTCCCAAATTAACCTCATCCTCATGCACAAATCCTGCATCCATAATGGCAGGGGGAGGTAACTAACTGTGGATACCCCTGCCAGGAGTTTGGGCAAGGATTGATGGTGTCAGCATCATCCTCTGGGGAGAGGGATGGAGCCAGAGGAGAACAAACTGCAGTTCAGGTTTCTGCAGCCCACCAGATTCCACCTTCCCAGCTCAGTTCAAAGCTGCAATGATCTCCTAAATCCCTCCCTGAGAGACGGACCTCCACATTCAATACTGAAGCTGAGAAACCTGGAAAAGAGCTATTCACAGAAGTGTTTCTCTGAGTAGCAGGTATTTGTTTATTCAGCACTGGACACAAGGGGAATCACTTCACCAAACTTCTGCAACCAGGAGTAAAAACTTCATGGTTTATAAACACTAAATGTTTATACATATTAATTATTTCCGGAAACGGGTGTATATTATTATAATTAGTTCCTGGAAACCATCATATTCTCCTCCTTTGTCTCCTCCTACTTGCTGTAGATCCAATGGCCTCTGGTGTTTGTCTAGGAGTCTTCAGTATGAAGGCCAGTAGTTTTCATCAGGTTGAACTTTTTATCTTTGGGTTTAACACATGCTCTATAGTCCTGTTTTCCTGTTGCTAGTCCTCAGAACCGGTAGTATTCAGTTTATCTTCCGCTTACCTTCTTGTCCTCTCGGTTTGTCTTCCTTTTATCTTCTGGTTCTCCTTGAATTTTATCATTTATGTCCATTCACAACTTAAGAAATCCTACAAGTACACTGACTTAGGTTTCCTAACGTAAGATCTTTTAAAGAACATCTTGATAAAATGCTTTGCTCTTTTACTTTCTTTGTATCAATACTACAAGAGCACAGGGGCTTGAGGTTGCACCCATGAACCCTCCCCAGGTGTTGAGATCTTGGGTGTATGCGACTGCAGTGCAAACTTTATCTGTCCTTTTACGCGGTTTCCAGAGGACAGGCAAGCCCTGACATTTTGTCATCAGTTTCACTAGGATAAAATCAATAAAATATTTCCTGTGCTAGGAAATTAGTCATTCCTTCATAACGCTCTGCTCCCCCTCTATTGCTTTCTCTTCAATCAGTTTGGGTACATGTAGGGAATATTAGCTTAAAAATGTTTCTGGCCTGTTATTTGCAATTTTCTTCCAAACTGCCATGGTTTCCAAACTCTCTGGAAATTTCCCATGACATCTGTGTTCTGCAGCTGGTTTTGCTGTTTAAAGCCTTTGATTTTAATTTCCTCCTTGACTTTCCAAATCTCCCTCAAGGCTGGAGAAGGTGAAGACACTGGAAAGCCTTGCAGGAGCTCTGGGAACTCACTCCACGTTCTCCCCAACATCAAGCCTAAGCCCTCCCCAATTTCATCCTTGTGTTACCAGACAAGAGAAATAGCCCAGACCAGGAAATACAAATGCATCTTTGAAAAGGAGACTGAAATTGAGAGGCTGCAAAAGGAGTGTGCAGGAGAGGAGAGAAAGGGGAGAAAATGATGTATTTCTGTTGATTTTCTGGTAGGTGAACTCCTTTGGCTTTGGAGCCTTCTCACATTGTGTAAATGTTTTAATCAGGAACTGAAAGAAAGTTTTGGTTTTGTTAGGAAGTTGCTGGGATGTTGCTGGGGTAGAAGACATGTAACTGATTGTTGTGTTTTAGGTTAACCAATTGGTGCACACCTAATGTATAGAATAAGCCAATGGGCAGAGAACACACAAAGCCAAGAAAACTATAAGTATCTGTGAAAAACAACAATAAACAGACATCTTGCTTGCATCAAGCTGTGTCACGTCTCTCCATCGCGACAGGGGTTTGGTCACTAGAAATAATATTTTTCACTATATTTAACCTCCTATTTTTCTGCCACTGTGTTTACCCTTCAGGAGCTGTCTGTTCTCCAGCCCTGCAGGAGCTGTCCGTTGGGATCAGTCAATGATTACACTTCTTAAGTTTTCTCCCTGGGGAGCTCATCTGTGGGGGAGAGACCTTCCTCCATCATTTCCTCCAGGGGAATTACAATTGCTCTTGAGAATTTTGAACATCCTTGGGATGTTCAAGCCAGCAGATTCCTATTGCTCTGTCTCCTCACAGTGTTCCAGCTCTGGTTTAGTGTTAAACAACTATTTAACAGTGGACCTTGGAAATCTTCCCCAGGGCTGAGAGAGTTATGAGTGGTGGGATGTGTGATACAGCATGAACAAATTCCTAGACACTGATCACCTCCAGTGTTTTGGAATTTCACCCCTGAACAGCTCCAGAATCCTGAAAAACTAGTAATATATCTGGGAAAGGTATGCTGCCACCCATGAATTTCAGAGAGACACTGATCACCATACTGTGCTGGAGCCTGGCCCAGACTGCTGAGCTCTGTCCAACACCATTCCATACTCTTAGGCTCTGAATCTAACAAAACAACAGACACTGCACCCACCTCAAACCCTGCAGCAGCCCCTGCAACTGAACGACAGAACTGACCTGGGCTGGGACCAGTCACCCCGTGCACAAGAAGAAATACTGGGCATGGAAGAGAACTGGTTTAGTAAGGGATTTTCTAAAGGGAGCAGGAGCAGGAGGAAGAAGTGGATGAGGCAGACTACTCTGAAGCATGGCCAGCATGAGAATAGGAGGAGGAAGACAGATGGCTAAGGGAGGAGGAAGAGGAAGAACTTGTAAAAGAGGCAGTAACCACCCAATTAATCCCTCTCCCTGGGAGAGCTCAGAGACATGAGAAATTGTTTCAGGCATGGTCCAGGCAAGCATATTGTCACATGGCTGCTCCACTGTTGGGACAAATGGTGGGTGAAGTAAGTGTCTGGCCAGCTTGGCATATTGTCACTGGAGAAACTGGTCCAGCAAGTTAAAGAAAGAAGATCCCACTCCCCAACAGTATGAACCAGTCCCTCAGATGTTGGGATTGGGCATTGCTCTGCTCAGGAGAGAGAATATACGCTGTGCACACCATGGACTACCCGGTGCTTTTACCTGAGGGACCTTGAAGAGGACATGAGAAAGAGGGATGGAAAATTTACCTCAGCACTAGAGGCATGAGTATGGGAATTGTAACTAAAAACAGTCAGAAATTGGGGTTCTTCCAGGAAAGCTGCTGCTCCACTGTCAGACACAATGGTAGGGCTGATCTTACTCGTGATCAGACGAAAAGGAATGTTAGCTGTTTTACAAGAAGTTAAATCAAGAATCCTATGACCAGCACTAGAGGGACACTTCCTCCAGCCAGCAGGAGGACAAGGACAACTGAATTTATTTGACTGCATGGATCCAATGGCCTAGCACATCAGCACTTGATGACTACAAGGCTGTCATAGACACCAGTGCACAGTGTACCCCAGGTGCAGACCAGGAAGTAGCAGTGTAGTCCAGGGGTCAATACACATTCTGTACAGTTTAACATCTTCATTAGTGATCTCAGTTATGGGATGGAGAGTCAGCAGCAGCAGTATGTTGGATGGCGATCCCAAACTGGGAAGTGTGGCTCATATGCAGAGAGGTTCTGTATCCAGATGGCCCTGAATAGACTGGAAAAAATGGGCTGACAGGAACCTCTGCAAGTTCAGCAAGAAGAAGGTCAAATTCCTGTACCTGGAGAGGATCAAGTCCAGGCACTAGCACATGTTGGGGCACACCCAGCTGCAAAACATCTGGGCAGAAAATAACCTAAGTATTGTGGTGGGCTCCAAGCTGAGGAATATCCTCTTACTGCAAAGAGATATTGGTGTCCCAGGCAGTATTAGGAGGAGTGAGGCAACAAGTTGAGACAGATGATCTTTCCCTTTCCCCAGCACTGCAGAGGCCATACCTGCTGTTCTGGGCTCCCCAGTACAAAAGAGGCACAGACATACGGGAGAGAGTCCAGGAAAGGCCACATAGATGATTAAGGGATTGGAGCATTTCTCACATGAGTAAAATTTGAGAGCAGGGACTGATTGTATATCAATACCTGAAGGAGGTTTTTCCCAGAAGTGCCAGTGACTGGACACAAGGCAATTGGCAAAAACTAAAACACCAGAGGTTCTCTTGGAACATCAGGAAACACTCTATTACTTTGAAGCTGAACAAGTCCATGTACGAGCTGCCCAGAGAGGCTATGGAGTCTCTGTCCTTGAAGATAGGTTTTCAGGAAAACTCACAAGCCACAGGAAGTTCTTTCTTTCATACAATCACAAAAGTATTGTTATTAAATTGAGCACATAAAATTTCTCTCAAAAAATTCAATTTTGTTGAATAATGTAAAAAATATCAGAGCTGCCTATTATGAAAGATCTGTCTCTTCCTTCATTGCCTTTTTTCAGTAAACACAACTTAGGCAGCAGTCTGGTCACAGTGTGATTTGATCACTGGCTCTACATTATTGACCTGTGAAATGCAGAGTGAACTATTCATCAGCATCACAAAACTACACTATTACCAGAGGCTCAGGGTCAAGCTCTACAGCAGCAGGACCTGTAGAGAAGAAGGGAATGAATTTCCCTTCCTGGTTGCTGCCATCAGCAATGTTAAAAGTGTACAGGGGTTCTCCCTTATGGACATGGTAAAAAGACACCTGCTTGGCTGGGATGTCCAGGAAGATCCCAACGAATTTCAACTTCCCACTCACACTCAGATGGGTCCAACGATCTGTGTAGGCCCAATAGTCTCTCCCATCTGCACTCCCAATGACCCAGAAGCCATTCTGAGGGGACAGAGTCAACGGCCCCTTGCGAGTCACAGATTCCAGGGCAATACCCAAGGCCCAGTTTCTTCTTCTCCCAACACATACTTCCCAGTAGCATTTCCCAGATGTGTATCCTTCCTTTGCCAACACAAACATATGGGAATCAAATCTCTTCTCATTGCTGGGCAAGTCTCCGATGACACCAGTATCTTTCACTCTCTTCCCATCCACAGAGATTTCCAGCCTGGGATGAGCTGTGTCAGCATCCAGGGTGACATCCCCTGCAATGGCCAAGTCACACCATAAGGAGCAGAAAACACAAGCTCTGCTTTGCTGAGCTTTTTTCTTCTCCCACCTCCAAACTCAGGTGCACTCAGCAGCCTTTTGCCTCAAGGGACCTCGAGTTTCTCCCCTACCCTTCCCTCCCACCACGTCCCTCCCTTGTGCTGTTGACTGAGAGAGTGGGCAGCCTGCATGCACCAAATTCATGGCACTCATCCAGTGCTCCCGGGACTCCAGCATGCAGCACCAAGGACAAGGTGTGGGGCTGAACACCCTCTCCCTCCATCTTTGGAGTGCTGTGAGTGTGGCCTGAGGAAAAGGACCAGGAGTTGAACTCAGCTGGAATTAGATTTGGGTGTCATGACTGACTCTTTAGCAAATTCTGAAGGAGATTTTCAACCTTTAAGCAGATTCTCCTTAATTACAGGGCAGCATCAGTCTAGGACATTCCTTCCCCATGGATTGGAGTGGAAGGCTCATCTTCACTGCCACAATAAGGAAATATTTCCTGCCTCAGCTTTCCACACTCATCAGTGGGCAGAATGAAGCCCTGGCAGGACCCAAACTAGGTGCAATGCCATCAATTGAGGTCCTCAGCTCAGCTCACATTTAAAGAATCTGCTCCTGCAGTGGATCAAGATGGATAACTCTCAAGAACCTTTCCTGAAATTTCAAAGAGTCCAAACTAGGAGTGGTAGACAGGAGAAGCAGTGGCTGGAGTGAGCAGTTGGCCTTGCTCCCTGCAGCAGAGATGGCTCCTGACAAGCGTGGTCAGGACCTTTGGCAGAACACAGCACTGAGAAGAGTCATCAAAGCACCCTTTCTCTGAGCATGTTGTTCTCCAAACAGCTATGTGAGGGAGTTGGATGTGTTTTCCAGAGCTTGACTCAGGCTCTGAGTACTCACCTCTGTCATATCCCTATGCTTACCTTCATAGGTCTGCAGTTCTGAAAAGACTGTAGGAAAAGAAATAGCAGCCAATGAATGGATTTGTCAAGTCTTGCTGCAGGGATTCAAAAAGAGTTGGCCAGCTCTCTGCCCTAGGTGACACTGATTCCACCCCCACCCTTCCCACCACACAATCTGTTATCTTAACCAGTTCTGTTCTCTTTTCATCAATCTTCAAGAGAAAACAAAAAATCGGATGTGTTATAATTTTGTTTCCCAGACATGGGACATGTGGCTCCAACATGCTCCCTCTGAAGTCCAAGGAGGACCAAAATCTGCTGTGAGATGAGCTTGACCTTCTCCTTCCTTTTCAAGTGGGAAAGAGATGTCAGAGGAATGAAGAGACCATGGACTAAAAAGGAGATGGGCTTTCACAGAGAAGGATCTCCCGGGATCCAAAGGTGCCTTTCCTGCACCAGGTACCCCTGGAGATACTTGAAAAGCTGATTGGGCACTCCTGAGCCAGGGGAAGGGGAGCAGGACTTGCTCAAGACCTGAGCTCTCCACTCAGGGCTTTTGCACTCCTGTGGTTTTTCCCTCCCTGAAGTGTCCAACTCCCAAGGTTCAAGTACACACAGGCTCTGGAAAGAGGAGTACTAAGACCCTCTCACCTGATCTGTACTGGTTTGGATGGATTGAGTGCTGGAGGGCTGGGGAAAGAGCACAGGCCCTGAGAACCTTTCTGGGGGCTCAGCAAAGGGCTGACGGGCAGGATGGAGGGTAGGGATCATCCCCCTTCATCTCTCCAGACAGCATCTGTGGGCCATTGGAGACAACACTCTTTGTTGAGATGAAGGTGAGTGGAGAAAGCGACACAGATAGTAGGAGGAGGCAGATATACCACACATTGCATCTTAGTGAGCCTGTGCCACACAGTGCCTTCAAAGACGAGAGAATGAATAGGGACCTCAACCATCTGCAGTTGCCACCTCACCATGCAGGTCTCTCAGTGGGCAGGACAAAAGAGCTACTCATCAAGAAAAGTCTGTCCCTCTCTATCCACTTTGAGGAGCATTGGAGCACTGGCTCACAGGATGGTTTGCCTGTACAGCAGTTTTTCCCTTCAGAGAGATGAAGGCCAGCTGGGGAATGGCCATGCTCACCTAGTTTGTTCTTCAAATCTGTTCTGAGAAGCTGAAGGTCACGCTGTGTTGACACCCACCCATCCTGGAAAGCTTCCTGCAGAGTTCGCATTTTTTGGCAGAGCTGCTCAAGGTCCTCCTTCCATAGGGGTTTCAAGGCCCCTGTGGTATTTGCCTCCTCTGTCCATCCTGTGAAAAGAGATTGGTGTCACTGGGACAATGATTTTGCCTCCCCTGTGGGGAGGTCCTCTCCCACTAATGAGGAAGCCTTTCTTCTTAGAAAGGACCAAGAATATTCAGTTCTTTCACTCTCTTCAAAGACAAATGAGAGCAGAGGGACCTTGACCATCTCCAGTTGCTACCTCATCATCAAAGGTGTTCCACTGGAATGGAGCTGCTCCCAAGGAAAGTATGCACAATGCGTCCACTTTGCGGAGGAAAGAAGGTCTAGCTCACAGGACAGTTTGCCTGTAGAGCAGCTTTTGCATTCAGAGAGATGAAGGCCTACTGAGGAATGGCTCTGCTCACCTAGTTCATTCTCCACATCTGCTCTGGTCATCTGAAGGTCACTCTGTGAGGGGACATACATACTCTGGAAAGCTTGCTGCAGACTTTGAATTTGTTGGGAGACTACATGGAGGTCCTTTTTCCACATGGATTCCAGAGCCCTTGTGGTATTTGCTTCCTCTGTCCTTCCTGTGAAAAATGACAGGTGTCACTGGGACACTTACATTGCCTCATTGAAGGGGAAATCACCCATCTACCCCAAGGGGATGCTGAAAACCTCTGTTTTAAAGTCTCTTCTTGGGAGACTCTTTTTAGCATGTTTTATTGTTCCTTCCTCTCCCCTTTCTCACCTGAGAAAAATTAAACCTTGCACTGAAGGGGGAATGTGGAACTGGTTTTCTTTCTGCCTTATGCATATATGCATGGAAGGGCAAGAAGCTCAGACTCAGTTCTCTCATAGAATCATAGAATTCTAAGGGTTTAAAGGGACCTTAAAGATCTAGTCCCAATTTCCCTATGCTGCTCAGGAAGAGTATTGAAAGAAACCCCATTGCCTCCTTTCTCCCCAGTGGCCTGGCCACAGCTGAGACCCCAGGCCTTGCTTATTTCCAAGTGTTCCTTGAAGGAAATAATTCCCCTGCCAGCATCCCACCTGGAAAGAGCAGGGCCAGGAGATCAGTTTGTCTTAGAACACAGGGAGAATGGGATCCAGCAGAGTCCAGGCTGCCCTGGTCTCTGTTGGGAAATGCTCTCAGCTGGGGCAGCTCTATACCCTGGGAGCCTGAGGTCCTGGACATCTGCCTGGGGATGTTAAATATAACAAAGGACTTGCTGGAGACCTTTGGAAGTGGGAATTTTTGGAGGGGTGAGATTGTTTGATCTCATTGCACTGGGCTCTCCTGCACCATAGGCCTTTGGATATTCTTCTTGCTAGGCAAGGGTTTGTTTCCAGGTAGTGTGGGTAAGTCCTGGCACTCACTTGCATGGAAAGGCTTCTTTCTGTATGATGGGAGGCCACACAGAGTCTCCTCTTGGTCACCTGCTGGTAGTCTGACAAGGGGATGAGCCTCACAGAATCACGTTGTCATATAATCAAATCATCAAAGTATGATTTGGGTCAGAAGGCATTTTAGAGATCTTGTTCCAACCCACCTGCCATTCACAGGTACACCTTTCACTAGTCCAGGATGACACAAGGGTGAAAGGTTTTAAGCTGAAGGAGGGGGGATTTGGATAGGATATTAAGAAGATTTTTTTTGCTGTGAGGGTAGTGAGGACATGGCAGAAGTTGTCCAGAGAAGCTGTTGCTGCCCCTTCCCTGAAAGTGTTCAAGACCAGCTAAGACAGGCCTTGGAGCAACCTGGTGTAGTGAAAGGTGTTCAGTCTTCTTTTAAGCCCCCTTAACTACTGGAAGGGGATTTAAGGTCTCCTAGAGCCTTCTCTTGTCCAGGCTTAACAGCTCCAACTCTCAACCTGTCTCCATAGCAGAGGTGCTTTAGCCTTCTGATCAACTTAGTGTCCCTCCTCTGGACACATTCCAGCAGGCCCAGAACTGGATTCAGCACTCCATGTGGCATCTCACAAGAGGGGCAGAATCACCTGCCTCAACCTTCTCATCATGCTCCTTTTGATGCAGCCCAGGATGTTGTTGGCTTTCTGGGCTGTGAGTGCACCCTGCTGGGACATGTTTAGTTACTCATCCACCAATACCCCCAAGTCTTTCTCCCCAGGGTTGTTCTTGATCCATTCTCATGCCTGTACTTGTGCTTGGAATTACTCCGACCCAAGTGCAGGACCATGCAATTGGCATATTGAACTTCATAAGATTCTCTCCAGCTCATCTCTCCAGCCTATCCAGGTCCCTGTGGATGCCATCTCTTCCCTCCAGAGTGTGACCACACCACGTAGTTTGGTGTCATTGGCAAACTCTGAGTTTGCACTCAGTCATACTACTCATGTCACAAAGATCAATGGTCCCAGTACTGACCTCTGAGGAACTCCTGCTTCAGTGGTCACAGAATGAAATGGAACACCAGAAGTTATGTGTGATGCCATTGAAATCTTTTCACTACCAGCCATGAGAAATACCCTTGCTAGAGTAGGACATATCTCTGGTTAAAGCAGAACATCCCTCTGACCAATTTCATTCTATTGTGAATGCCAGGCCTTCTGCTGTGCACTGGAAGTGGTTCTGCCAGTAATGTGCTCTGGGGATAGACCTTGACAGGCCTTGCTTGTGCCTACAGAGATGCATCACATCCCAGAGGTTTGCAGCATCACATGGTCACAGGGAGGTTGCTCAGGCCTCAGTCTGCTGCTTCCCCTCCTGCCACCCCACACAGAGATTCATATTCTCAAGCCCTTCTCCTCCATGACAGTTCTTCTTCATGCCCTGGAGATTCCTTAACAAATCAATTGCATTATTTAGGCTTGGCTTAGGACTTTGGCTTTGCCTTTGTCATCACATGGCAGAGCTGTTCCTGGTGGGAAGGAGCATGGGAGGTGTGTATCCTGCTAAAAGGAGGGTCTCCCCTGGTCCAAGCCGATGGCTCAGGGCTTCATCTAAATGGGTCCTGAACACTTGGACCTGATGCCTGAACACTGACCAGATAGGTCACTGCAGCACTTGTATCTTCCAGTGATGTTGCAGAGTGGAAACCCAAGACAGGTGAGAGCTACACCAGTCTGAACCTCCATTGCTGATGGAAGGAGAATTAGGAGAACTTTAACACAGCTGGAAGTGGTTGTCTGTCTGTGTGTGTGTGTGTGTGTGTGTGTGTGTGTGTGTGTGTGTGTGTGTGTGTGTGTGTGTTTCATCTTGTTTCCAGCTGCAGCTCATTCTGTGAAGAGAGGGAAATGAGATGTGGAACTGTGGGGGTAGGACATGAGCCACTGAGACTAAAACTCCCCTGTATTCTGGGAAAAGGCATGGCTGTAACAACAGAACTCTGGGCATGGTCAGCACAAGCCTTCCCCCAAGGAAGAGCATGTCCCTGCAAGCAGGGCACCCAAAAGCACAGCTGCAGGGA